AGCTCAGTGGTCTAGAAGATAAGCAATAGTGCGTGACACTGGTAGGTCCTATGTTCGAAACTCGCGAGGTGGGATCGTTGGTGCACATTGCTGAGGAGTCTCACAATAGGACGAAATGGCCATCCAATGCTTTCAGATTTTTCGTGGTGGTCTAGCTTCAATTGACTCATGATCTCAATTACTAAAATTATCATCATTTAAAACATCAGTTTTAATAACATCATTTAAGAGTTATAGAAATAAATCTGTAAAACAATAATTCAAATGTACAGATTACGTAATAGAAGATAAATATCATTTTGATATGATGGAAAGTAAAATCAATTTTCGATTGATTTACTCATTATGAATTTTGTTCAAGATTACTTCGGTTTTGATTCAATGTAATGATTACGCAATGCAGCATTTGTTTTCTTTTCTCGTATGATATTTTATTTTGTATAATATACGATATTCTTGTATTCCATTGACATGAACTATGCTCAATCTATGATTTGTTATTTATGTGATTACATTCTAATTATTAATCAAAATGGGTGTACAATCAATATATGAGTGTATTTTCGACTAGTGTCGTCGACGTCGTGTTTTGGGGTTAGTAAAACATCACTTATACCAGGTCTTTATATTCTTACTTTCGCGTCGTGGGAATTGCAGTGGTTCCTCATGTTTACAAGTACAAGTAATAAGCGATTCCGACGAAATAATCAGCGATGACCAGATATAACAAGTAAGATTCAAGTGACAAACCATGTCATGTTTATTTTTAAATTTTGCTCAACAATAAAAAAAATATTTTTTTAGATTCTAATTAATTCAGCCGTGTACTATTGAATGGACAATGTTGAAATATTAGGTGGTGTTTGGAAGTGATCGACGGGAAACACTGAACCAAGGTTTCGTTCAATTTGACACTCGTCAGCAAGATGTGCCTGTAACCTTGAGGTAAGTGATGCTCTCTGGTGGACCTAACATACATGACATTGGTCACTAGTAAGTGATCAATCAATTATAAATACATCTCATTCCTGAATGAGGTCACGTCAATCGTGAATAACTCAGTGGTAACGTTTTTGACTGTGATTTGATTGACACGAATTCGGATCCACCATAGATTATCCATTTCCTCAAAATTATAGACACACTTTGATGATGAGCTGCAAACAGAAATAAACCTAGGTTCAGGATTTCCTGTCGATTGCTTCCACCCACCACCTTACAGCTCAAAGAATACAACGCCATTACAATATAACCGATGTAATCTTACTCAAGAATCATGTTAAAGAAACTGAAACACATTTCTTTGGCATCTATTGACTCGTTAGTACCTTTGCAATAATAAGAAATCTTGTTATGACTTGATTAAGCTTGTGTTAGTATGTATTTCTAACATGATACAAGTGAATAAAAAATTCTTCTTTTTGATAAATCGTAGTTAATATCTATGTGGTGTATTGTTATAACTTGTGACTGCCAATTAGAGACGCGTAAAACACGTGCGAGCAGCCTAGAGTCCTGATTGGTCCTGCTTTCCGCCTAGCCCAGCCAGTTAGGTCCAGAACACCAGTCTAAGCCTCTGCAATATGAATCATTTATTTCAAACATACTCGGTTTATATATCAACCAGACAGACCACGACGTATCATAAAATATGAAACAACATTTGTACAAGAATTAGTCAAATGTGACTCTGAATGAGGGAGATAATAATTAATAGACAGGCCATAAATCGTGTAGTAATAGTCTATGGGTCAAATTAAAGCTTATAATAAGAGCGACATGAATATGAACAGTTTAGTTGCATAACAATTATACGATAAAAATATACTCATAGTACTGGTCCATAAATGGATCCCAAAAGTTACCATTCTTATCTGGATATAATATGTATGCTACCTCTACTTGTCGAATTAAGTAGTATACAACGCTAATCAAAATTTGAATGACTGTCAGTAGATGGGCTAAAAAGCCCGAATTGAAGAAAACATAAATGAAAATAAAAAGGAATTGTGAATTTGAATAATCATACAGAATGTAAAGTGTAAATCACAGAAATTTGTAAATGAACTATTCCATGTATGATTCTTATGTTTTACCATCATATTGTATTATTATTATTATCTAAACACATAAACACTGGTACAAGGATGCACCAAAAAGATATGCGCCAAATTTATCATCCGATTTTTGTGAGAGCTGGGATAATGCTCGGGTTCCCAAACCGAAACAGTTGGTTTTCATAGTATCACAACACGACCTAAATGTCTAGTCCACATGGCAGTCTAGCAACGTAAGAAGATTCAATCCCACGGTAGCTGGTGACCTATAATAAATTCATACGCTATTTGTTTCCTTAACATCCTCGATCCTATGTATACCATTGGTTTCGAATCAGGGATATTCCAACTCCCCTAGGTGGACCTTTCATATCCATAATCATTTATTAAACAATAAATTAATTATCACCCACTTGTGTTTGGAACTAGAAAACAAGGCCCAGGACACAGTGGGTTGGAGAATTCTGGTCGGTGGCCTATACTCCATTAGAAGTAACAGGTGTAAGTAAGCAAGCAAGTAAGTAAGTAAGTAAGTAAGTAAGTAAGTAAGTGAGTAAGTAAGTAAGTAAGTAAGTAAGTAAGTAAGTGAGTAAGTAAGTAAGTAAGTAAGTAAGTAAGTAAGTAAGTAAGTAAGTAAGTAAGTAACCCACTTGTGTTCTCATTTATTATATATCTTTACTAAAAGGAACTGATTTACTATTCTGTTTTTTAATTTGTATAAATCATATGGTTCACACGTTAATTATTCGAACTGTGATTATGTATTATTTTTTTTTTATTATTTCGATCATTGAATAATCAATGACTTGTTCAATCATGTGTAAATTGGATCCACTATTATTATTATTATTAGTTTAATTAAAAATGTTTGAAATCTATGTTAAATTAGGGCAAATTATTCTAATCAGTATTTGTATACAATTATAAATTATTTAATTAAATATTCACTTGTAATTCATTGATTATTGAAAGTATATAATAATAAATAAATAAATAAATAAACTGAATTGAGCTTCTTAAATGAGTATATAAAGTTCAATTCTATTCATTAACAATTCGCTGTTCATAGTTGTTATGGTAGATACATGTATTAAGGTACAAATTATATTATTATTATGTAATAAGAATTTTAAAAAATTTTTAAAAAGGGGAGGGGAATTAGTAAACATTTATTGATTAGTTTTCATTTATGATTCTCATGTTGATCGTTATCTCTTTTTTTCTTTTTTTTTTTGGTTGTTGTTGTTGTTGAAAAGTTACTCTTGGTAACATTATGTCTACAAATCATCCCATATGAATGTGAAATTAATGTTGTTACTAAAGGTATGTATATTAGATATTTAATTTTTTTTTGATGTATTTTATTTGTAATTATTAATGATTAATTGAATTTTAAACATTGAAATATCGGTAGTCATTGTTAAGAATACTGTAGTTAGATAGTTGAGATCATGAGTCAATTGAAGCTAGACCATCATGGAAAACCTGTAAGCACTAGACGGTAGTTCAATTTCGTGAATTGGTTTAAGTTAGACATTCACACTGTTAGATACTGGATCAGTAGTTTAAAAGTTAAGAGTTCGCGCGCAAGAACGATAAGTCCATGGTTCAGGTCTCATGAGGTGGGATCGTGAATATGCACTGTTAAGGAGTCCCACTATAGGATGAAACGGCTGTCTAGTGCTTTCAAATTTTTCATGGTGGTCTAGCTCCAATTGACTCATGATTTCAACTATTAAAATTATTATAATATCCACAAGAAACCTCTTCTGATACTATTCAATATTATTATCGGTCATTTCTATAAATTATTAGTATATATTTTGTAATCATTAGAATAAAATGAACCATTATCATATTTTGTACTAAAAGCTTAGAAATTTATTTTGAAGATTAACACTTTTATAACAATAACAAAACATGAATTAAGTAGTTATCTGTTCCTTTTTATGACTGATAGACCATTAGATTGAGATCATTACCAAAATACAGGCTTTTCTTTAAATTACACCATACTTTACTAGTATGGGGGTTGTGGAGATTATTACGTTTTTGATTGAGATCATGAATCGATCGGTGTTAGACCAACATGTGCTCACTAGTGAATAGCTTCGTGAGGGAATTCTCGAAGTTCTAGTGAGAAGCCGTGATCAGTGGAGCTAAACCATGTAATGTAGAGACAGGTATTTACCTCAGTACAATGAAGGTTGGTTGCGCAGTTTCGTGGATTGGTTGATGTTAGACACTATCACCATTGGATCTCGACTCAGTGGTCCAGTTGGTTAAGCATTCGGGACCGAAAGCTCTGGGTTCGAATCCCGCGAGCGGGATCGTGGATGCACACTGCTGAGGAGTTCCACAATAGGACGAAACGGCCATCCAGTGATTCCAGGTTTCCAAAGGTGGTGGTCTAACATCAATTGGTTCATGATCTCAATCAAAAACAGTATACTTTATTTCTACATAGTTATAGTACATCATGATATGATATAAACTATTTACCCTGATATTGTATTGATATTATCAGTAATATTTGTAATGATTTGTTACTATTCGATATGAAACTTTATCAAATAATTGTCGATGGGACTCGACCATATAGGGCACGGAATAGTTATCCTTCTCAGGCAGTAGAAAGTGTTCGTTGAATATTGTAAGTTGAAGTTAGAAACTAACACCATTGGCTTTCATCTCGATGGCATAGAGTTTAAGCATTCTCACTTGAGACTGAGGGTCCTAGGTCCGATTTCCTATGGCGGCGGTGTGGATGACCAAGCTAGGACGAAACACCTGTCCGGTGTTTCTAGAGTCTTAATGATGGTTTAGTTTAGATCGATCTATGATTTTAAAACTATAAGAAAACACTTTTCTGCCTAAAGGAGTAATTTATCAAAATACACCTAATTTCATTGTTTTTTATTCATATTTTGCTTTTCCATTTAGAAGTTAGTCACAGCGCTTTGTCCAATGAATCAACAAATACCTCATCATTTTCTAATCCCGTGAAATCAGTTTCACTTCATTTTTGTCGTTCAGCAAGAGGAATTAATCAGTCTGATCCGAACTCTGGTAAGTGATTGTTCTTTCATTAATAAATTCATTAAAAAAGTAACGAATATATCAAATAAACATTGTAATGTATCCTTATTTCTGACAGTATTGTCAAAAAACAATACTTGAATTCATGAGTCCATTCAAGCTAGACCACTATGGAAAACCTGGAGACATTGTATGGCCGTTTCATTCTATAGTGGGACTCCTTAGAAGTGCACATCCACGATCCCACCTCGTGAGACACAAACCCGGGACCTATCGGTCAGGCACGCAAACGCCTAACCTTTAAACCACTGATCCGGCATCCAACGGTGTTATTGTCTAACTTAAACCAATTCACGAAATTGAGATACCGTCCAGTGCTTACAGGTTTTCCATAATGGTCTAGCTTAAGTCGACTCATGAATTCAGCTATTTAATTACTAGAATATCCACAAAACCCCTTTCTGAATAAAATATTTTTCATTCAAGTAAATTAATTAGTCAGATAGTAATAACATTTATTTAGAATCACCAAATATCAAGTCAAATAAAATATTACGGTCGACCATCCCGTCTACAGTTTGTAAACTAATAAACCAATAATTATGAAGGGATGGTCCCAATAAAAACAAATCGTTTTGTGTTAGCTTGAATACTCCCCGATATACACGACATGAATTAAACTTCATAGTTACTACATAGTTGGTAATTTCAAGACAACTACTGACCTTGATACTGGTTATGTAGAAATCAGCTTTATTATACCCTTACACTATTATCTTCTAAGTTCTAAAAAAATAAACTATTATCACCAGAGAGAGGTTTTGTGGATATTATAGTGATTTGATAGTTGAATTCATGAGTCAATTGATGCTAGACAATCATAGAAGACCTTGAAGCACTGGACAGCCGTTTCGTCCAAGTATGGGACTCCTCAGTTATTATATCACTTATGTGTGTTCTTGAGTTTGTGTAAATAATAGTAATGTGTTTATGTGATTCATGTATCTCTTTTGTGCTTGTAAATGCTGAGTTATTTATCATTAACTGAATTGACTATTTCTGCCACTCCATTTTACGTGCATTTCTGTTCATCTCCTGTTTTTCTAATGAATCATTGAATGTTTGAAATATGCATTCCACAAGTAATTTCTTATATGACTTTTCATATTTATGGTGTTATTAATGGGATTTATGGATATACTATATACAAAGTATGTAGGATGTATATTTTATTGACATTAGTGTTACTCTATCGTCATGTAGACAACCACGGCGAATAAAGTTACATATTGACAATCAAATTGTAATATGGCCACTTGTCAAAGTGAACCAATACTGCGGTATTATTTATCTAATGGTAACCTGATAAAAGCAATACAAAGAAAGCTTTGGTTATAGACTTTGTGTTAGTTAAGACTTGAAATAAAGGCTTATATGCATTTTTTAAGAAACTGAAGTTCTCCAGGTATTACATCAGTAACTGTAACGGTTGGTGATGTGGTTTTAAATTCTGCTAAAAGCATTTGTTCTCCTTGGAATTAAAGTCTAGCTAGATGATGAGATTCAACTATAGTAAAACCTAGATCCAGGGTTTCTATTTAATAATTTCTAACGAACTAACATAGTGCTTGGTGTCCTGACTTCAGAAATTATCTAGCAGTCAACGAATATAAAAATATTCTACGATAATTTGAAGAAATTTCATTCTACTCCATATATTTTCCTTGACTATTTCCAATGTAAACTATCAATTTTAAATTTCACACACAAAACTTAATTTTCAATTTATTCTGGAACTATTATTTTTCTTAAGGTAACTATTTACTCTTATTGGTGAGAGATAATTCAGATCTTAATACTGAAAATGTTATGATTAGGTTTATCAATCAGAATCCTGTAATATATTTTATGGGATAAATTTACATTCTGATCATTGAAATAGAGTAGTACTCTTTAACCAGCTACACTTTCTGAGAGTCAACAACTAACTTTGGGTTGAGTTTAATATGATCTTACCCCTTATTAGTTTAGGATGGGAAACATAAATATTAGGAAATATATGAGTACCATGTACTCACAAATGACTAGGTTCAAGATGTATTTCGTGGAGTTCTAGTGTGAAGCCATGACAAGTGGAGTTCAACTGTGCCAGCTGTGAGGCCGTTATTCGCTGAACACAATGGTGGAAGGTCTAGCAATATCATGGATTGGTTGAAATTAGACATTACCACCAGTTATCTATAGGTTAAGCGTTCATGTGAGAGACCGAAGGTCCTGGGTTCGAGTCCAGTGTGCAGGATCGTAGATGCGCACTGCTGAGGAGCCCCGTACTAGGACGAGACGATTGACCAGTTCTTCCAGGTTTTCCATGATGGTCTAGTATAAATCGACTCATGAATTCAACTATTAAATAAATATTTGTTTCTTTTTTTTATCTGACTAGTACCTAAGAACACAAGTGATGTTCGATGTAATATTCCAATTCCAAATTTAACTCCAAAAGGTCATGAGCTTAAGTCTATATCCATTAATTTTGACGCTAAATGTTTACCGAAACCAAATCCATGTAAGTTAAATGAATGTAAATTATATTAGTTTATGCTATCGGAAACAAATTAATACATTAGTTATCATTCTTATTAATTACAAATCATCTCTTCTGTTGAATTAAACGTAAATTTGAGATTCATTAATGTATGGTTGTATATATTCAAAATAGTTAGAAATTAATTTAAAACATGTTTAAAAGTTATAATCTCAACTATACATAATCTTCACACTGATTGCTAAGTAAATGTTATAGGATTTCACTATAGAATCCATTCAAGGATTCTATCTCAATAACCGAGTTATACATAGAATCTCATACAACAACGTAAGGGATCATTTGAAAACCATTAATTCTTTATCAAGGAACTAGAACATACATGAACAGTATATTTAAGGTCATTTTCAATGCCGTAATGGAGTGATTATAATTATTTACAAGTAGAGAAAAGAAAACAGAAACAGAGAGTACATAGAAACAATAACGATAATTATTGTGATAGGTCTACCGTTATAGATGTATCAGGCTGTTTTATAATCTGCTGTTAGGATTAAATACTATTCATATTGGTTTAATTTACCAGAAACGATGTAAGTGTAAAATATCTGAGGGTAGGGAATTTTAGTGAGTGGCTCAGTAATAATAAAGACTAAACATATAATATTCTTATAATTTCACTAGTGGAAGTTGAAAGCAATTTCAGAGGACAAGTTAATATAGATACAAAGGACAAATGAGCTAAATTAGTTCAGAGTCCCGAAAATTTACTAGTAATATAATTCATATAGAGAGAATGTGCTGAATAAGACAGATCCTGATTAGTGAAAAAGGATACATGAATAGACAAATGAATGTTAGACCACCATTGAAAATCTGGAAGCAATGAAATGTCGTCTCGACCTATTATGGAACTCCTCAGCAGTGCGCATCTGAAATCCTGCACACGGGACTTAAACCCAGGATTTTCGGTCTTGTACCTGGACATTAGACCTCTAGACAACTGATCTGGCATCCAGTGCTCTTAATGTCGAACTTCGACCAATCCATGAAATAGCTCCACCGTCTTGTGCTTCCAGGTTTTCAATGGTGGTCTAACATTCATCGATTCATGGTCTCAATCAAAAACTAAACAGTCCCCACAACGACGACTAACATAACCACTACGCACAAACAATTAAAAAAATACAATTATGCTCAAATCTGAAGATTAGGGAACAGAAAAGGGTATTTCAGTGAATCGTACATCAAACGAAATCTTATGGCTTATAGAATTAGCTAAAGGCGAAAATAAATGTTAGTGTTTTACAAGCTTTGAATTAAGTAAACTAGCTCCCCTCAAAAAAAAATCTTCCGTTGTTCATCATAGCTTCTATGTTCCTCTGTTCATAAATACTCTTTTTCCAGTTCAATTTTTATGGTGATAATTTTTTTTTTCATAACAAAACGTAGTATTGCAAGGTGAAAATGTTATCAAAGTTGTTGGACATTCACCACAATCAAATGTAATTAATATGAGCAATGAAACAAAATATCATTCAGCAGATATTACACATATAAAATATGATCAACCTGTCAATATACAAGCAGGTTAGTTACATAACTCATAATATTTCCATTTATTTCATTTTTGCTATATGCAAAAGTTATTGACAAGAAAATTGAATCATAAATCCATTGTTAATATTTTTATCTAAGTTATGTACATGAATGCAACTATCATAATTGTTATGTTCTCAGCTATACAATTATCCCGAGAATTATGATTGACAATTTAGATATATGATGACTTATACGATCAAACTAATGACGCATACACCAGTATGAGTAGTTTAGAGGTCCTATTTTATCCTTTCTACTTCTTGCACTGCCAGTTCAGTTCAGAACACCAATAACATCTCCCACTATATGAATCGTTTATTTCAGACATACTTCGTTTATATACAAGCAAAATCACGTCATAACACAAAATAGAATGAAAAATATTTGTACAAGATGTAGTCGAAAGTGGTTGTGATTGTGAGAATGTGTCATTAATACATGGAGAATATCTCAAGAATAGTAAACCGTATGATAATAATCAACAGATCAAATGGAACCTTATAATGAATGGGATATGTGTATATACGTATAATGAAGTCAGTTAATAGTGATACGACAAGGATATACGTATAATATTAGTCCATAAGTATATCCTAACAGTTACCATTCATTTATTCTTCTCCGGATATAACAATATTGTCTTTAATTGATTCAGTTCAATCAATTTATCTGAGCAATGTATCATGGAAAATACAAAGTGTTTACGAATACTTTATAGTGACTTTAAGGATTAAATCTTTCAATATTCGACGATTATGTCACATTGATAATTATCGGCAGTTTTTTTTACTACGTTTATAATGTGTTTTGCTTTTCGCTTATATTTCAGGTTCACAATTCGATTTCCCTGTGGAAGTAAATCCTAAATCAGTTTTAGACCTCTATTCTGATATAAAAAAGAAGCGACTTGCAAAACAAATCGTGAAGAGAAAAAAAATAAGATATGGTATGTGTGAGAGCTTAATATTATGTCAAATATTTGCTTTTCCAGGGGGGAGGGTTTGCAGAGGGATTTAAGAATCTTCATAATTTAAATCACCAGCTGATCTTCGCTAGACTACATTTTAAAGTCTGAAAACATTGAACGGGCGTTCAAATGTAGTATGGGACTCAACAGTAGTTTGAACTTGTGACACTGCCACAAGGAATCAAACCAAGGACTTTCAGTCTCGCTCCCAAACCCCTAATCGATAGACCATTGAGTTGCCATCTAAAGGTTTACATGTCTAAATCCAATCAATCCACTGATTCCATGTTTTCAGTGATGGTCTAGCTGAAATCAGTCAGTGATCTAAGCTTTGAGAATATTTACTTGAAGTTTATTTTATGTGATATTTTTAAAAATCTGATCTTGAAAAACTTTCGGACAGTCACAACGTAGAAATTGGAAAGAAAGTATGCCGGTTCAAGTTCCCATACCGCACTAGCATCTAGAAAGTAGATCGGAGAGAACTACTGAGTAGTGAGCTGTTCCTCTAGTTGGAAGACACCTACGCCACAAGTGACATAAGTTGAGAAAGCCATTGGAGCCTTCTGAATTCATGTAGAGATTCGTCGGACACCAGACCATCAGTTCTGATGAGACTTCCAATATAAGTGAAGTGGTCTATGAGCCCAATTACTCCACTCCCTATCAATAATTTATTGTGATGACGCAAGCCAGTCCTAAAGTAAAATTTTACATTTGGAAGCAGAGAATGAATTTCAAACGTTTTTACACTGTTACCTCACCACCGATGTGGTCGAACGCTGCCTTAAGATGAATGAATACAACCATAGTGGGACACCGAAAAGTATGCCTATGTTACAGAATCTGATGAAGAGTGAATATTCAGTCTATATATCCATGTACAATTCTGAAGCCGGCCTGGTTTCTTCAGGTTCGCGCTTCACGACATCAATTTTGACGTAAAAGTATTATTGAGGTGAATATTCTAGACATCATTTAAGTTAAATTGAATCCCCAGTGATTGTCATATGAGGATTTTTGTCCTTTCTTATAAACTGGGATTACGTCCAGTTATGTGATTTTGGCTAAGATTTCAGTCAATCTAATTTCGAAAACAGGATAAACACCCTTAAAAACCTCAGAGGTTAGTCCATCACTCCCTGCTGCTCTTCCTCGTCTTAGATTACTTATAGCCTTCTAAACCTCACTAAGAGTTGAAGGAATTACATCTGTTTGCCATTCATATTGCTTGGAGTTATTGCGTATGGCTGAAAACAGGTTAAGCGGTTGCAAAGTGTTCCGTCCATCAGCTTAATCTACTGGATTGCGAGTGAATAATGACCTCATCTTTCTCTAAGATGGTTTCATTGACAGAGGGATTTTTAAAACTATTTTTCTTGATAAGTATGAACAGTCATCTACTATTAACCATCGCTGCTGTATTTTCCATCTCTTCTGCTTTCGCAACCTACCGCTGCTCACGACCAATACGTAAGCCTTTTGCTAACCTACATTTAAGCTGCTTCCGTTCCTCATCATGTTAAAAGCCAGGCGGGATGAAATTCAGAGCAACACTCAGTTTAATGGATGTCGATAGAACCCACCGATTTTTCCCAACCTTTTAGTTTAAATTATCAGTATATTTCATTCCTGCTTCTAAAGCTTTTTAGATGTCATACCAAGTTATCTCAGGGTGGATATCATTTTCACGGTTGACTATCTACTTCTTTAATTGTTCTTGAAATATATTTTTAGCTTTTTTATTTATTTATAAAATTCATCCTTAACTTCGTCTGAGTTGCAATCAATGAGAGAGTAGGTAGAGACAAGGAAAAGGCGACGGTGTGTGCTCTTATCGAGGTTTAACTGTTCCGTCTAGTTGAATAGTGCAAAAGTGACTGTCTATAGAAACCCAGTCTAACAGAGCCTGTTCTGTTGTAGAACCTGATGCTATACCTAAATTACTGAGACCATGGAAAGCGGCAGTGGGGTCTCTGGATAGTCGATGGGTAAATCGTGAAGGTTCTTTATAGTGACAAGGCAAGGTTAAATAACTGTACGTGGATGCTGTATACGCGTTTCGAGGTGCAGCATGTACTTATGGTTCAAGCTTCGACAGTTTCAGCTAAAAAAAACCGTTTTTCCATCGGACATAAAGTTCGAGTATTAAAAGCTTCAACATATACTACAGAGGGTGGCTTCAGAAAAACAGAAATAACATTTCGTCAACTTAAATCATTAGCATTGGTGGCTTATGGTGATAAACGAATGTGCCAAGGATTAGTCATAGGGGATGGAAGAATTAATAATAAATGAGGAAGAGATTCGATCGTCAACAATATGATCTCTGGTGCTGATAGAAGTATGAGAGCGGTTTTCATTTACCGGCTGCCCATATTGTGGAATATTAATTTTTATTGAAAGACCTGAAAAAAAAGTTGAGTTAGTAGTGATCTTAGCAACCTGGGAGTGTGGCAACGGAGCCCAAGGAATAACTACTTGAGGCTGGTCGCGGATTGCTTTCTAATGGGAAGTTTTTAGTGTGTGAGCTCCACACTTCAGCAACATAGCGCTCTGAATACGGGACATTAAAATACAAATGAAATACAATAAAATGTGACAATTGTTTATTGTTTACTCCAAATATTAGAAACGGAATTATTTTGAACAAGCCTACCACAAATCATCCAATATGACTTTTTTCACAGTAATTATGACAATTCTATAAGCTTTTTTTATTAGTTATACCCTAGTGGAATTCTAGAAATATAAACTACTGAATTTTAATTGGTTTGTTTAATTGGCTTTATGGCTGTCATAAGACCTTAACATTTTAGGCGATATACATTCAATAGTTTCAGATGATCGCTACTAGTGAAGAGTATTAAACTTTGATGAAATGGTGCTTTATAATATTTTTTAGGATTCTTCAACTGTTATTAAATCATAAATAAAAGTAACATTCAATATTTAAAGAATCATTAATCATAAATTCACTCGGTATTGTTTAATTGAATCTTCCCGTTGATGTTTAGGACTGAAACTAATTAATCTCGTTTTGGCATATGTGCGTACTGTGCGTATTACCTCGATACTATCTTAAGTCACGAGCATTATAAGCAAAGATCGATAATGGCTAACAGTGAAATCTAGGATGCGCGTTTCATTTTACTTGGAATTCATCAGCTAGATGTAACTGAATATCAACTTTGGGATAAAGGTACATCCAGCTGACGAATCCCAAATAGAACGAAACGTGAGTTCTGGATTCCATTGCTAACCAACATTCATCTTTTCTTATAATCATTAATTATATTTTGATTACTCTGTGTTTTTATATATTGTAGTGCATATTCTTATTATCTGTGTATTTTATATAATTCTTTTCAAAATTGTTAATTTGATACACTTTGTTTTACTGAATAATATAAAAGGAGAAAGTGAAAACAATGATAACATGAATGTGAGAATGATCACACGACGCATTAGACGTGTTTTGGGAAAGATACATTCAGATAAAGCATCTACAGCAGAATCTGGTAAGTTATATTTTCATCATGATTACTTCATAAGTCTATTATTAATACTATTAATAATACTGAATTAGGTATTTAATTAATGCTCAACGCTCTTCCTTTATCCGGGCTTAGGACCGGCAGTAGCCACAGAGGGGCTCCGGGCCGAGTTTATCTAATTAATATAACTCAATCAATTAGTCCTTTATCATGAACGTAAAGCCTAGCAAAGATATGCGTTGGCCTAAGTTGTTATATCACATTAACACAATTAGACGAAATTAACAAAATGAATATTTGAAAAAGTAAAAATAATGTAGTAACAATCAGGAATGAGAAATACTAAACATTAAGAGTATCCTTCGAAAAGACAGGATGAAAAGATATGTTACTTACTTACTTACGCCTGTTACTCCCAATGGAGCATAGACCACCGACTAGCATTCTCTAACCCACTCTGTCCTGGGACTTTTTTTCAGTTCTGTCCAATCTTCGTTCATTTTTCTTATATCTGTCTCCGTTTCTCAGCGTAATGTGTTCCTTGGTCTAACCAGAAAAAATTATTCAAACCATTTGAAAAGGTTTGTACGAAGGGATAATAGAACTCAAGTTTTAAAATAACATGAGGAATAAAAGCATTTAGGCCATTTTAACCAATGTTGAGCCATTTCACTCAAAGTCTCTAATAATTGATTACACTTTCCCCAAACTGATGGTTTACATCTAATAACATGCCTCAAATTTACATTCAATGACTTCACGGATTAATGCTGAATCCTGAATTCGCTGTATCTAGCTTACTTCCAACCTACTATCAGACCATCAAACATTGCCCGTTACAGCTGACTATGCTTAGACATAATTACACTTATTCCAATTAATTCAGTTGATGAAAATTAACAATCTCAATAATCCATTTCCCATCCTTGTCTAGTTATTTACTTCTTCTATAAACACTTATCACTCAATCGTTTCATGATAAGCAAAGTAATTTTTAAAAGACAAATATGATAAGACATTTAAAATCAACAGATGTCTTCTATTTGGAAAAGTCAAATAGTAGAACACACTAGTCGTCTGTCCAGTTAACCCCATCTTTTAGTCATCAAACAGATATCATGCCTTTAATGAAAGTTCATCAATTATCTACTAAGTTCTATTTTTTTAAATATAAAGGCTTATCAATTTACTCTGTTACTTAAATAAACAATATTCGAAGTAAAACATGAAGATGTAACTCAGTAATCTTGACATTCTAATTATCTTATATTTGTAATGAATGTAGAGATATGCATATGAATTTTGTAGTAATACTCTATATGATGTATTTTGTAAATTCAACAATACATTCTTAATTATATTTATTTGTCAGCAAATAAATCTTTGCAGACAACAAACTCATTCGTTCACATCTCCTACGGACACATAACACACCATAGACTATCAACATAATATAAATCGTTTCATATGCAAGATCAATTCTAATCAACCAATAATATTGATAGCAAATTCATTATATTAACGTCATTTAATGTTAACTGTTAGTTGAATAAATATGCTTCATTAGTTTATATGAATGAATAGATTGGTTTTAAATAAAAACCCATTTTCCTATACTTAATTCAAACAAAAAACTGATGAAATAAATAACTAATAAGCATTAAACAACTACTACTGAAAATCAGGTAAAGTTGAAAAATTGTTTACTACTAGCATAGAATATCTCTCATTAGTGGAAGTCGACGAACATATGGAAGATTAGATCGGTGGACTCTTAACCTTTGGTCTTCTAAGCTGAAACTCTACATAGTACACATTTAATTTTCATCATTTTGTTGTATACAAAGTTAGCATCTTCTATTTGGTGTCGTGGGTAACTTTATTAATCTTGACATGGTTGAACTCCACTAGATCTTGTTGTGACGTGATAAAACCTTCAATCAGAATACGACTTATACAATCATAAAATTGTGCCACAACAATTACGTATTGACCGGTATGAGCGTCCATATTGGTTCCTTTTCCTCCTAGCACTACCAGTTCAGTCCAGAATACCAATAACATCCCCCACTATACAAATCGTTTATTTCAGACATACTTCGTTTATATACAAGCAAAATCACGTTATGTACATGAATGCAACTATCATAATTGTTATGTTCTCAGCTATAAAATTATCCCGAGAATTATGATTGACATTTTAGATATATGATAACTTATACGATCAAACTAATGACGCATACACCAGTATGAACAGTTTAGAAGTCCCATTTGATTCCTTTTACATCTTGCCCTGCGAGTTCAGTTCAGAACACCAATAACATCTCCCACTACATGAATCGTTTATTTCAGACATACTTCGTTTATATTCAAGCGAAATCACATCATAACACACCATACAATGAAAAATAACATTTGTACAAAATGTAGTCGAAAGTGGTTGTGATTGTGATAAACTGTCATTAATACATGGAGAATATCTCGAGACTAGTGAGTCGTATGATATTAGTCAATAGATCAAATGGAACCTTATAATGAATGGGATATGTGTATATACGTATAATGAAGTCAGTTAATAGTGATACGACAAGGATATACGTATAATATTAGTTCATAGGTATATCCTAACGGTAATCATAGAACGAATACCTTTAATGCTAAATGATTTTTCTCTTTTCAAACGAACAAGTTTATTACTTCAATGATAATTACATTTCGATGATTAACAATGATAATCATTAGAAATTATCTCATTGTTATTACTTGCTAGAAATTATTTCAATCCATTTTAGTGGCCGATTGATCTGACTCCACTTAGATCGTACGAATGTTTGTTATCACTTATCCTCGTATACAATCATCGGCTTAAATCACGTTAGTCGATAACGGAATTTAGATAAGTCAATTAACGAGAATAATCTTTGAATACATATATTCTGTATTTAAAGTGAATGAGATAGAACAAAGCGAAATGACGCGCAGGGAAGATGACTGGTAAGCCAACTCCATTTCTAGCCAGGCGTTACTCAATATTTATACACACAAAATTAAGTTACAGACATGTGAGAGATATGAGATATGAAGTGTATACACACATATACGTTCATTTAAAAAGCAGTCAAGACTGATAAGCGAATAATTGACAAGGTCAACATATGACTCAAGTAGAATGAATAGATTAGTTTGTCCAAAATCTGGAATAAGGATGGGCTTAAAATAAGGACTGACACTACTTACTTACTTGCTTACGTCTGTTACTCCTAATGGAGCATAGGCCGCCGACCAGCATTCTCCACAATATCATAATTAAATATTTAATGTCATTCAATTTATTATTCTTGTATTGTTTGTTTTTTTACCTTAAATAAGATGATAAAAGAACTGTAGTGAAAATAAAACGAAAAGACATTGGAACAGTTGACAATCATGATACATTAAAAGATTGGAAAAGTTTAATTCGTAGAAAGAAAGATGATATGAAACGTGTATTGATAAGTAAGTGTTTTATTAACTATTCGTTAAAGAATTTGTAATATGTTGAATAGCGACAATGATACGTTTCTGGCAATAAATAAAGAGTTGCACAAGATCATCAATCGATAAAAGTTAAATATTAACATTATTAGATGATTTATTTTGCCACCTTTTAAGTTGGATTTCATTAGTTTATTAACCTTAATTCACTTAGTGTATGATAGAATGTACAGTGTCAAGAGTGGGATTCAAACCCACGCCCACAAAGTGAACTGCGACCTGAACGCAGCACCTTGGACCGCTCGATCATCCTATGATAGGATGTGAGTGTTAATAAAATGGTTTAAAAAGAAGTTATTTACTATTTGATGGAATAGAATAGAATATGTGAAGTTTATTTAAAAAGTTTTTTTGTTTTGTTTAAAATTTACTTTATTATAACTTTTAGAACGGGTTAAAGCGAAAAAGCGAGATGTTAATGAACATATTGAATCTTCAAAATCTAAAGAAAGATTTATTGTACAAAAAATTAGACGTCATGTACAGAAAGAAGCAGAAGCAGCAAAGAATCGTATTCTTATTAGTGAGTTATCATTATTATTTCCGTTGTCAGAAAAAAAATTATATATGAACTTAATCATATGAGGTAATCACTAGCGAATCCTGGACATGAATTTTATGCCATTAGATACTTGTCACTAAGGTGTTTCTAGATTCATACAAAAATTGATACTTCTTTTTGTGTTTATTCTTTCATAAACTAGGCATTTAATAAAGAGTTCTATTATTGAATGATTTAGTTCATAAATGATTACTTGATGATATTGCAGTGAACGAGAACACATTTGGCGGCAACCAAGTGTATTTCAATACAACATTACATAATCTCAATAGTCCAGATCATGAGTCAATTGAAGCTAAACCACCATGGAAAACCTGGAAGCACTGGACAGCCGTTTCGTCCTATTGTGAGACTCCTCGGCAGTGAGCATCAACAACCCCGCCTTGCAGGATTTGAACACAGGACCTACCAGTCTCACGTGCTAGTACTTAACCTTTGGACCATTTAGCTGGCCGGCATCCAACGGTGTTAATATCTAACTTCAACTAATCCACGAAATCGAGCGACACATCCACCACTGATATCAGTGAGTTATTATCTCACAACAGACCCGGTTGAACTCTAGTGGTCACTGCTTCTCACTAGATTTTCAGGAAATATATCTTGAACTCAGTCACTTGTGAGAATATGTTGATTATTATAAGAAGCGGTTTTGTAAAGATTTTAGTAATTTTAATACATACTACTCATAGCTATTGATATCATTAGCATTCACAACAGTATTATATATATAATTAAAATTCAAATAAAAAAATGTAAATGGTTAATGTAAAATGTTCCATAGAAGTGTAATTTAAATAAGTGTAAATTCATCAAAATATATACAAGTAACCAAGCCTAAATTGTGTTGTTATTTGATTGGTTGATCAAGGTGTTTTTCTGCATTTAAAGGAACACGCAAAAGAAAACGTATTCGTAAATCAACATCCATGGAAAAAATAAAAGAACATTTACATAGACGAAGGTGGAGAATTAGAAGACGACGAATAAGACCTCGTACGTCCAAAGATCTATATACATATATATATATATATATATATATATATATATATATATATATATATATATATATATATTATTATTATAATTATTATTATTATTATTATTATTATTATTATTATTATTATTATTAATTAGTATTATTAGTCGTTTTATTCAATGGTGCAATATAGAATTCTCAGCGTAGAGTATTTCAACAAGTTTCCGTTTCCTATTTCTTGATTAATATTGACGATCGCCAATTAAATGTTAACATTTCATTCTTTTCAGGGAATATTGCCAGCCATTATGATATCTGTGATTGCATATTTTTGTAAATTGTAATGTGAAAGGTCATAAATGTTTCACAAATGTACCTGAATAAGTTATAGGATTAAAAGTCACAATGATCTGTTTAAACAAACAAGAAAACACAACTTCGACAATTAATTAAATGACAGAAATAGATGGTAGCACAGATATACAAAGAACCCGTCCAAGTAAACTAAAGTTGACTAATAAAAGATAAAGACTGAGATGATTTATTTTGTAAGAAAAAAAAACAACAACCAAATAACGATGGTATATAAAAACAATTATCAATAGTTGAAATCATGAGTTAATTGAGGCTCGATCAACATGGAAAACATGGAAGAACTGAATGGACGTTTCGTAATAGTATGTGACTACTCAGCAGTGCTAATGCAAAAAAAACCACTCCAATTTTGAAATAACAAAAAAATTTTCAAAAAACCCTTCTTATAAAAATGAATGAAAAAATGAAAAAAAAGAAGAACCTTTATAATAAAAAGGAACAGAATAGACTAAAATGCATAACAAAAATTAGTAATTGAAAAACAGAAACAAGATTAAGATAATAAAAAAAATATTGCCAAAAAAAGACATCTGGAAAATATGATCATGCATATGCTAATATGGATTGTAGTTTGATGGTGCTGAGCGAACGGTATTGATAGTCTGTGTCAGTGATTGCATGTTTGTATGATTGGTTAGATGTTTACACTGTTGCATGTATGAGTGTGTTTGTGTTTATGAGTCTGGATGAGTGGATGAGTTGGACTGTACCGAGGAGACAATGATATTACGTACTTGATCGATTAGAAGGCGTATTAGATCGAGTTCGATTGAGTGAATCGTTTGTTGGTTGATTAGGATTGAGTTTGCATATGAGACGAATTATATTGTGTTGATAGTCGATAGTGTGTTATGTGTCCGTAGGAGATGTGAATGTAGGAGTTTGTTGTCTGCAAAGATTTATTTACTGACACAGAATCTATCACACAGACTGACACTGACTGACTTTCCCTCTTCTCTCTTACAGGCGAAACGACAACACCTGAGGATGAATATATGAACGTGACAGACAAGTCCGGAAAGGTGATGGCTCGGTACAGGCGAAGGAGGAGGCGACGAGGGGGAGACGGTCAGCCAGGTAAGTTGGAATGCATTCAGTCAACACATGGTAAATGCACTAGGTCCGACAAATGTCAATGTGTCTATGATTGTATTCGATTTTAACGAAGTGCACTTACTTGATCATGTGATTTGTAGCATTGATATTATTAGCAGTAATGGAAGCAATGTTATCAGTGGTAAACGTATTAGTATTAGTAGCAATAGTACTTGTACTAGCAGCATTGTTGTGATAGTATTTGGTGTTGTTTTGGTTATCGTCGTGGAAGTAGTTAGTATTTCGTAGGATTCACTTTATTGAATGTCGTGAATTTAGCATTTGATTTTGACTTTGGTAAAGTTGCTTCTAGTGATATTACTGTTGATGCTCCTGTCACTGACCATGCTGAGTTTGAATTTGATTTTGTGTGTTGTGTTGAGTGAATAGTGGTGTTTGATTAGTTAGAGTGTTGTTGGGAATCGTTGTGCAAACAGTGAGATTGAGGTGAGTGGGATGTGGATGAACAGTGAGGTTGTGTTTGTGAATGACTATGTGATGGTGTGGAGTGGTGTGCATTTGTGTGACTTATGTTTGGTAAGGCTTCTTACGGAACTACGTGTTCAAGGTGATCAGTATCTGCATGTGCATGCGTGTGTCCATGTATGTATGGGGATGAGATCGAGATAGAGGTGAGTATTGAGTCGTGTATGAGTTAAGAGTTGTGCTGTTTGTTTGTACGTGTTTCTGTGTGTGTCTGGCTGAATGTATGACTGTTTGTCTGTCCGACTTTGTATCACGCACTACGACCGTGTGTTCGATGTCTTGATTATGCGATTGTGATTGACGAGTGTATCCGTGTGTGTTTGTTTGTGTGATTGTGTGTGTGTGTGTGTTTATGCATATGTTAAAATGGTTTGTAGTTTGATGGTGCTGAGCGAACGGTATTGATAGTCTGTGTCAGTGATTGCATGTTTGTATGATTGGTTAGATGTTTACACTGTTGCATGTATGAGTGTGTTTGTGTTTATGAGTCTGGATGAGTGGATGAGTTGGACTGTACCGAGGAGACAATGATATTACGTACTTGATCGATTAGAAGGCGTATTAGATCGAGTTCGATTGAGTGAATCGTTTGTTGGTTGATTAGGATTGAGTTTGCATATGAGACGAATTATATTGTGTTGATAGTCGATAGTGTGTTATGTGTCCGTAGGAGATGTGAATGTAGGAGTTTGTTGTCTGCAAAGATTTATTTACTGACACAGAATCTATCACACAGACTGACACTGACTGACTTTCCCTCTTCTCTCTTACAGGCGAAACGACAACACCTGAGGATGAATATATGAACGTGACAGACAAGTCCGGAAAGGTGATGGCTCGGTACAGGCGAAGGAGGAGGCGACGAGGGGGAGACGGTCAGCCAGGTAAGTTGGAATGCATTCAGTCAACACATGGTAAATGCACTAGGTCCGACAAATGTCAATGTGTCTATGATTGTATTCGATTTTAACGAAGTGCACTTACTTGATCATGTGATTTGTAGCATTGATATTATTAGCAGTAATGGAAGCAATGTTATCAGTGGTAAACGTATTAGTATTAGTAGCAATAGTACTTGTACTAGCAGCATTGTTGTGATAGTATTTGGTGTTGTTTTGGTTATCGTCGTGGAAGTAGTTAGTATTTCGTAGGATTCACTTTATTGAATGTCGTGAATTTAGCATTTGATTTTGACTTTGGTAAAGTTGCTTCTAGTGATATTACTGTTGATGCTCCTGTCACTGACCATGCTGAGTTTGAATTTGATTTTGTGTGTTGTGTTGAGTGAATAGTGGTGTTTGATTAGTTAGAGTGTTGTTGGGAATCGTTGTGCAAACAGTGAGATTGAGGTGAGTGGGATGTGGATGAACAGTGAGGTTGTGTTTGTGAATGACTATGTGATGGTGTGGAGTGGTGTGCATTTGTGTGACTTATGTTTGGTAAGGCTTCTTACGGAACTACGTGTTCAAGGTGATCAGTATCTGCATGTGCATGCGTGTGTCCATGTATGTATGGGGATGAGATCGAGATAGAGGTGAGTATTGAGTCGTGTATGAGTTAAGAGTTGTGCTGTTTGTTTGTACGTGTTTCTGTGTGTGTCTGGCTGAATGTATGACTGTTTGTCTGTCCGACTTTGTATCACGCACTACGACCGTGTGTTCGATGTCTTGATTATGCGATTGTGATTGACGAGTGTATCCGTGTGTGTTTGTTTGTGTGATTGTGTGTGTGTGTGTGTGTTTATGCATATGTTAAAATGGTTTGTAGTTTGATGGTGCTGAGCGAACGGTATTGATAGTCTGTGTCAGTGATTGCATGTTTGTATGG